GGAGGCTCCGTGGGGGGCTGGTGCGGAGAACCGCGGGGGACGCGCGGGCGCCGCTCTCCTGCAGCCCTGGGGTGGATAACCGCCCTCCCCAGGGGGTCCCCAACACCGCCGGGGGCCTTTCTGGGCCCTTCAGGTGTTGGGAGTTTGTTTGGGGGGTTTGTTTATTGGGGAGGGGGTTTTGTGCCAGTTTTGAGGCTGATCGGAAACTCTGGCAGCCGCCGTGGAGCGTGGGGGAAGGAAAGGGTCGTGGTTTATTTGTGTGGGGTTTAGCCTGCGAGCTGGGTGGGTGGCTGGTAGTTCTTGGGTGCAGTTTAAGAGGAGATTTTTAATGATAAATCCTGTAGAGTGGCTCAACGACAGCTGCGTTAGAAGGTCGCTGTTCCTGCAGCGGATCTCGATCCTCACAGCACGGTGTTGCCTTCTGGGAGTCAGGCCCTTGGATCAGGCTGGAGCTGGAGTCCGGCTCGCCGCTGGGACAGGCAGGAGCTGCGCTGCCAGCCCTGCTGGGCAGAGGCTGGAGCCCTCGGGGGTGGGCAGTGCTTGCCTCGCCCCGCCAGATTTCTGGGGGAGAGTTAGGAGAGCGCAGAAGAGAATTGCTCTTCAGGAGAATTGCTCTTCCTTTGGGGGCTGTAAGATTTTTCCAGTGTCTGTATTTCAAAGTGTTGCATAAATGGATGTTTTGTAGTGTAAAATGTTAAATAGCACGTGCTGCTGTCGAGTAACAGTCTGCTCGGTGGCTATGGCTGAATTCCTCCCAAAATGTCGGCGTAGGAGCACAAAACCCAAAGGAACTTGGTCCTTACAATTATCTCTTTGTTATCCCAGGTAACTATATCGTGTAATTCCTTCCGTTCACCCACTGCCTGCCTTTTTAAATTGGTTTTCCTAAAAGGCAGAGCGCCTTGTCACTGCCCTCACCCCGGGGCACCGGCAGCAAGGCAGTTTCCCAAAGAAGCATCTCTGTGCCAGCGCAGCTTTGTGCCTAAGATATTAGGAGAAGCCATCAGGGCAGAGCAAAAATGGAAAATGCTGTCCTAAAGCAGCTGAGGTTAATTAACTCGCCTGTAATTCCCAGATTTGCTTCGTTTCACCCCCAAAGGCAGAGCCCGTGTCCGACCCTGGGCCATGGCGCCTCGGTCCGAGCTCTGGAGGCGGCAGCGCGGTGGCCGCCCCTCGCCCTGGTTACGCTCCGATGTGGCCCCTTTTCTCTTGGGGGCTGAGGCCCCCCCCCCCACTGCTGCCGGGTTTGGGAACCCTCCTCGTCGAGGCCAGGGCTGTCTTTGTCCTGTGGTTCTTCTCTCCATTTCCTTTGTGTCGCGGTCACAGCTGGCTTTGGCTTCGTTTGCAAGTCTGAACGCAGTCTGGTTTTTCTGCAATTCTTGTAGAACTTTTTTTTGCCTCTTGAACCCTCAGACTTTTTAACTACTTTTTTCAGTCAGGGTGTTTTTTCTGCATTTGTAGGCTATGCTTATTGCTGTATTGGCTTTTGAAACAATCTCTCATTTGGTGAATTTGGGACCTTTCTTGCCAAGTCTTTTCTCTTTGCTCTGTACACAAATTCCATTTTGTTGGCGTGCTTCTTTTTGACAACCCTCACAAAAACGAATTTCAGGTGACCTCCGCGCTCATGTCCGTGGTTCCTCAGTCCCGAGAACATCCTACGTTAGTCCCCTGGATTTATTAAGATGTAACCATTTCAAATTGAGAAACGTAGAACCGAGACCTTTGTCTGTTCTGTTCCTCTCTTCAAACCAAACAGAATCCAGCTCGCTTGTATTTTAGTTAATTTTTCTCTGCATTTATTAACCTGTAAACCACCATCATTCCTTCTTTGTGTGGGGAATATGGGATTAAAATTTGGCTGCTGCACCCCCAGCTCTCCACACTCCACCACCACCAGTAGTTGCTCTTACACATGGGGAGCACGGGAGTCCGTGCCATGGGGGAGGTCTCCGTCCAGACCACGGTCAGACAGAAGGGTCCCCCTGACAGAACGTCTCTTTGCTCCTTCCCTAAGGGTTGGGTTTCTCCCAGGCTGCCCCACCGTGTTTCGTTTCTTTTCCTCACTCGTGGCCATTCGTGTGCTGCCACCTTGGTCTTTTGTTTCTTCCTTTACGAGCACTCCCCAGCTCCAAGGCTGTTTTTTCACCATGTTTCTGGCATCGCTGAAACGTCTCACTTTCGTGGTGTTCTTCCCTCAAAGGCCTGTTGTCTTGGTTTGAAAAGACAGGTGTCTGTGGAGGAAGGCAGGAGCCTCCCTTGAAATGGAGAGTGCAACCCCCTTCCCTCCAAATTATTATAATTTTGAAATGAACGGGCCTTCAGGCAAAGATATGGGGAATAGGAATAACAGTTCTTTACTAATTTATATATATATAACACAAGGGTCAGGGAAAAAAACAAACAACCCACTGGTTTATACTGACAGAGTCAGGAATACAACCTGACACCCTGTTAGGGTGGCAGTAGCAGTCCGATAAGATGCTGGCTGCAGTCCTCCTGAAGCGATGGGTGTAGTTCTGTGGAAGCAGCAATCAGGTAAAAGAGTCTGGTCTTCCTCCGAAGGTCCAGTGGTAGGTAGGTAGCTCTTGTCCTCTGGAACTCCAGTGGGGGAAAAACTCCTCTGGGAATCCAGTGGAAGAAAGGCGGCTAGGGTGTTCAAAATCTCCGTTTTTATTTGGCATGGACTGCTTGGCTCCTTCCCCCCCCCTCCCCGGGCGGAGCATCTCACAATGGGATGGGGAGTCGTGAGGCAGTTCCTTGATGGGCCATGAACAGGAGATAGCCCAGGAGCGAGTTACCGATGGGTCAGGCGATAAGGCATTGTTGTGCCCAGTAACAGGAGATAGTCCAGAGGGGGGGAGGCAGGGAGCACCGCAATATTTTTTTTTCCTTTTGGCACATTTTACACTGTAACCCAGGACACCTGTCTGCGCCGGTGCACAAATACCCGGGTTGTTTCTCGTTGCTCAGACCCTCGTAGGAGGTTGTGCCGGTCTCTGCCATCGTTGTTGTCTTCTGCCGTTCATTTCCCTTCCCCTCGCTGCCGTTCCTTTATCAGCACTTGCCCTATTTTCTTCCTCCCACACACCGAATCCAGGGACGACATCTCTGCCAGCCCCTCTCCTGGCTCCACAGAAAGTTGCTGATCCTTTGCCAGCCTTGGCTGCAGCGGGCAGGTATCGCCCGCCCTCCGAGGAGCCCATCCGTTGGGGAGGATCCTTTTGTGATAGGTAGAGACACGGACAATTTAAAGTGTCAAAATCCTATGCGAATTTTATTATATTAGCAAGCGAACAAGAGCAAAGGCAGCGCTGGGCGGCCGGGGAGTCTGCGCTCCGCCAACGGCTCGCCCGCCTCCGCCTCCTATATACAGTCTCATTTCCTGCATTCGTGATGTCGCAATCAGGTCGATACTCTGCGCATGTTCCTTCTGTTGCTGGGGGGTCTTTCTCTGCCTCCTGGTGATCCTAAGGATGACGGCTGAAGGTCTTCCTCGTTGCCCTGTGGGTGGACTTATGCAAGAATGTGACTACTCAACCCCCTCAGCTACGGGTCCTGTTGACTTATGCAAGAATGTCCTTCGGTTGGGCTATCAAGCCTTGCGGGCACATAAATCTTCCATCCATACCTTCCCATACAGGTTTAATGAACAAAGCACAATATGTTACTTATTACACTTTCACAACGAGCGTTTCTGCCACTTAAAACCCTTCCTGTCTCCTGTGTCCATGAACGTGCTGGGTTTTGTTGGCTTTTCACAGCTCACCGCGTGTCTGAGGGCTGGAAGGGTCCCTCTGGCGCTTGAAATGCTGTTTTCGTATTATTTAATTCTGAGTTGCTCTTTATTCATATCGGAGCAAAAGGTGGCGAGATTTTTGTGTATGTTTTTATCTCCTCTGTCCCACGGTTGTGGAAAGCTCAGCTTTTTCGCTGTCCCCCACGCAGGCGAGCTGTGCCCTGCTGGGTGGGTAACGTTTTCAGTGACAGTCTGTCCTGGAGCTCGAAGGTGCTTTTTTTTAGGTACCTCGTGCCCAGGTTCTCAAGATGAAGATTGTGAACTTGGCGCCTTCTCGATGGAGGTCTGTGCGCAGGGGTTTGGGCGCTCGTCTTCGAAGCGCCAGTTACTGCGTGCTGGCAGTGACAGAGGGAAGAGGGCAGACGGCGGAGGTCTGGTTCCTACGCGCCTGCGTAAGAAATTCTTTCCTAGGCAGTTGTATCAGGTTTTCTGCCTCTCAGCGCCAGCTGTTGGCATCGGCAGGGTGGGTGAGGGTGGGAGCTGGCACAACAGCTCTAGTGAGAGGTCACCACCGCTTCGCTGCCGGGTCTGTCCCTGCTTGAGCGCAGCGCTGCCGACCCAGGCGAGCAGGCGGCCGCAAGGGTTTGCAGGGCTCCAGCCTGAGCGCTGACAGCCACCACGCACCGGCCGGACCTGCCAAGGTGCAGCGGAAGGGCACGTCTGGGTCCCAGCTGGCTCACTCCTGAGCTGTTCGGGCCAGCGAGTTCTGTTTGGCACCAGCTCTCCTCAAGCCTCTCTGCTGCTCGTGTTTCCCAAGCTCTGGGCAAACCCCGTTTAGTGTCAATGAGCAAAATAAATAAACAATGGTTGAAACTTCCCACCCGTTGCACGCAGAACGTCTTCCCAGTGAGGAGCTCCTGGCTGTGACTCTCCAAAACACTTTTCCCTCAGGATCCCGTTTCTTGCCTGGATTCAGCTTCTGTAACCTGAACTCGCCGACGGGGCAGCTCTTGCCGAAACGCGGTGTCGGCGTGTGCCGAGGGGTGGTAGAGCAGGTGGCGCCTGTCGACCGCTGGAGCCGGAATTACGGTGGTGATCAGTCCCCCGAGGAGCTGTAGGCACTGGGGAGAGCTAGTCATGGCGGGGCTCCCCAAGCACAGGTCTGGTGACGGGGATACCGTCCTGGTGCTGGTGGGGGGCGTTTCCTTTCTCCCTCCAGTTTAGTCTTCCTCAGTAAGGAACCAGTGTGACTGCATTGAACCAGTGTGACTGCATTCCACTGCCGCCTCTAGATCGTGTTTGATGCTCCAGGCGGGTCAAGGGGGACAAGAGTGTCCCTGCTGGTGGGAGGAGATGGTCTCTCAGTACCACCAAAGGTTTCAGCCCCGTACTGGCCCTGACCCGTGTTTTATCCAGTCTCATTTATTTGCTTTAGTGGGACTGGCTTTGAGTAGCTTCTCCGCGGCCTTGCTCGAGAAGAGAGGACGCTGGGCAGTAGGTTTCTGGGGCGGAGATACCCCCGACGGCCTTTCTGCGGTGCTGGCGGGGCTGTCGCGCCTCCGGAGCCAGGCGCTGGGAGAGCAGCGCGTGTTGGTAGCGCCGTGCTGCGTGACCGGCAAACCGCCGCGGGGATACGGCGTCGCCCGGCGCGGCGCTGTCGGGCGGCAGCCTCACACCTGGGGTTGGCCGTGCGGGTCGGGGCGTTCTCTAGCCCTGAGCTGTGCCAAGGAGGGAGCGTGTGGCGTGGCTGGTTCAACGAGGGGGTTTTGTGTGCAAAGCTGCATCGCTGGAGCTTAGCGCTGGCTGTTCAGGTTCTCTGCAGCTGGTGCTTGTCGTGCGTCGCCCGGCGCGGCGCTGTCGGGCGGCAGCCTCACACCTGGGGTTGGCCGTGCGGGTCGGGGCGTTCTCTAGCCCTGAGCTGTGCCAAGGAGGGAGCGTGTGGCGTGGCTGGTTCAACGAGGGGGTTTTGTGTGCAAAGCTGCATCGCTGGAGCTTAGCGCTGGCTGTTCAGGTTCTCTGCAGCTGGTGCTTGTCGTGCCTGACTCACGCTTGTTTAAAGCAGACCGACTTTGTGCCCAGACTGAGAAGTCTCTTTTCCCTTACTAGGAAGAAGATCTGTTAAGCGCTGTTTGCAGGGAAGTAGTCGAGAAGTGGTCTGAATCTCAGATTGTTGACGCCAAAGAGAAAAAAGCAGGTAGTGTCGCTGCTCGTGTGCCTTTCCTCGGGGTGTGAGTAACTTGCAGGGCCTCACCGAGACGAGCACCCTGTGTTCGTGTGTTAGGAGCAGAAACCAACGCTGCTAATGTGTTTGCAGATCTGACTTGCTCCTCATTGCCATTGCTGCTTATTTACTGTTTTGCCTTGAAAGACGAAGTGAGGATGAGTAGTTTCACTTCTGGCTGTGCCCAGCATTCTGCTGCTCTTTGGGTTCATCATCCTGCAGAGGAAAAGTGGTTGGTTTGGGGTTTTTTTTTCTCCCTTTTTTTTTTTTTCCCTGTAGGATTTTTTCCAATTTCCTTTCACAAAGCACCTAGGGCTTTCTCAGTTCAATGCCACAAAAGCCGTGCTGGTGGCTGGCGCAGTGGTGGCCGGTGCAGTTGTTACGGTATGAAACGCCTGCGCCGCCTCGGCTGGTTTGGTGGGAAAGCAGCCGGTTCGGTACAACTGCACTGCACCCATGGGGAGCTGCGCTGTCCCTTCTGCTGCTGCTCGCCCTGGTACGCATCACGAGAGCATCCTTATTTTTCTCTTCCAAAATCTTCTCTTAAAACTGCCCTTTTTTTGCCAGAAATGCTTGTAGGGGGGGAGCTCTGTGAGGCTGCTGCCACTGCGCTAACGCTGCTCCTTTCCCAGCCGTCTGTCTGGCCCCACCGTTTCTTTGTCCCCTCTGAATTCATCCCTCGGCTTCAGCCGTCGGCTCAGGAGCGAAGATTTCCGTCTTGTCCTTGCTCGTCGGGGGAGGCTTGCTCTGGTCCCCGAGCAGAGCTCTGGAGTACCACGAAGTCGGACGTGGGGAGGGTTTTGCTGATGCAGGCGTGCTGCATGGATCGAGCCGTGATCTTCCAGCCGCACGGACCTAACCGTAGCTGTGACAATGTAACGTCCCTTTTGGCTAAATCCTGCTTTTTTTGTTTGCTTTGCATGTTTTTGTTGGTTCTGGTCGCAAACAGAATATTGTCGCTGACTGACGTCATTCTAGAAATGGGTCTCCCAGCGAGCCCTTCCCGTGAGGCCGGCGTTAGGTAGCGCTTCTCTTGTCTGAGCCTCAGCGTTCCACAGATACCGCTCGCCTCCTCCTCACAGGTGAGGCGGCGGAGCAGCTCGGTGGCTTTCCCCCAAAAGTCACTGAAGTCTGTCCTTGGCCTGACCTTGCCTTTGCCTGGGGACACGGAGCAGTTACGCTGTTCTGTGCGTTAAAGAAACTAAATCCCTCTTTTGGGGACAAGTGGTTGGAATTGCCGGAGCTGCTGCCAGGTTCCTCCTGCTCGTGCTGTTGGTTACCTGCGGGGGTTTTTCTTACTTGTCACAGAAAGGAGGTAGCAGAACGTGTCCTTACAGTTACTTCGTTAGAAGCACAAGGGTTTAATTATGTCATTGTCATTCCATAAAAGCATAAATCCCCAATAACGTCAATACCTACTTAGAATAACAGAATCCTGAGGAGAAGTAATTAACAGACTGAGAAAAATTGGGTGTCCAAACCCAAACGTCACTGTAAGAAATGGGCAGCAGAACGTTAAAGCTAAAGGGTAAATGAGCTGCCCGTTTCCCTGGGTAGGCAGAGGAGACGGTGTGTTAAACTGATGGGTCGCTTTTGGTTTTCAGAATTTCCATCTAACATGGTTTTAAGCGCGTGGTTAAACGAGCTGAGCCTCTTCTAAGCAGAGGATAACGCAGTTCGGAGTAAAACGGATTCTCATTAGCTAAAGCCTTTGTGATTTCAGAGTTTCCGTTGTGAAACTTCCCTCGCTCCCGGAAAGGTAGCCGGGGCAGTTCCTCCTCACAAGGCCAAGCTGGTGTCACGGCACCGCGTCAGAGCCGCGCTGGCTGGAGCCACCCCTGCTCGGGGGCTCTTCAGCAGCTCCTGCTCGCTCAAGGCTGAGGCCGAATCCCCCAAAACGGCCGGCTGGCTACGCCAGCTGAGCTTGTGAGAGGAGGGCAGGGGATATTTTTGGGTGAAACTTCTCCCTTTAGCTCAGCACCCTGGCCCGTGGCCACAGCTGCCTCCCTCAGCCGGGCCGCATCCCGTGGCAGTGGGACGGCGCCTCTGGGGACGGCAGATGTAGGGAGCAGCGGCGCGTGGCTTCTCAGCTGGGGCTTCGCTGCCGTGTCTGCAGGGACTGACTGATGCTCCGAATCTTCTCCTTGCCAGATGAGATCCAGGCCATCGCCAGCATGATGGAGAAGCAGGCCAAGATTGTGGTGAAGCCCAAGGAGGTCTCCCAGGAGGAGAAGCAGAGGAAAGCTGCCCTCCTGGCCCAGTATGCCAACGTGACGGACGAGGAGGAATATCCTTTTCCTGACCCAGTTGAGACTCGGTGCTTTGAAGGATGGTGTTCATTAAAATTGTGCTAAACCAGCACCTTCCCAGCTCCGCAGGGTCTCGTGGGGAGAACTGCAGAGACTTTTCAGTCTTCCTCCTCCGTGACAGAATAACTTCCATGGACAAAAAGCACGGAAGCTCCTGGTTTGTGGAGGGCCACGAGCAGACGCTCCTTTGTGCGTGTTTCTCCACCATTTCCACCCTCCCCACCAACACGTGCTTGGCTGGGTGAGGTTTGCCCCGTCTGGGTGTGTTGCCGAAGACTGAATCACCTCCCGGTGACTCTGTGCGTGGCAGTTACCGTGTGGAGTTTCTCTCTTGCTTCCTGGTGAGAAACCTGCTGAAAAGGTCCTCTTTAGGAAGAGCACGTGTGGAGCGGGAGAGTGTGAAGTTACCTCTTTAGTGCTGGAGAACAGGCTCTTCCTGGCAGAGCAAAGTTGGGTGGGAGGGAACTGTACCTGGAGCAGCAGGAGGGAGCTGAACGTGGGGGTTTGTCCTTGCCTGCTCCTTGATTGTCTGCATTAATTTTAGCTTCTTCGTCATGGCTTGATAAAATTGTTATTTGATGTGTTTAGAGTTAAGTGTGACTGTAGGAGGCACAGGTTCATGACAGTGTCCATGTTTCCTTAATTCTCTCACTGGCGAGGACGAACAGGATGGATCGGCTGCGACAGCAGTAAATATTGGATCGGAAAAATGTATCCTTTGAATTCTCAAGGACTCGGGCTTTTTGGAAGGAAGGCAGCTTCCACGGTGAGTTTCCCATCCTGCCTTATCCCTGTCGATACTCTCTGTTCCTTTAGGGCCACCTTTTAAGTTTGGTGATTCATTTTTCATGCAGCCTGACCTTGCTTGTAATGGAAGTTAGAGGCTCCCCGCCCCGTGAGACTGATCCTGTCATTCTCTTCTCTCCTGTTCCTTCCCTCTTCCACTCTCTGAAGCTTCACAGAACATGCTTATTAATAAGGGTAATTCTCTCAGCACATCAGTTAATGTTAGCTGGTGTCCAGAGAGGGAAATAGTGTCAGGAATCGTTAAAAGTGCCACAGAAACGAAACTGCTGTGAAACCCGTAAGGCCGTGCTGCAGTTGAACTGCAGTGGAGAACAGGGACCAAGTATCCCGTGTTTTTCTCAGTGCAGTAATTTGGGACATTCCTTGAGCTCACCAGCTGGCAGGCTGAAGAGGGAAGCAGGTTTTGTCACATAATCAAAAAGTGAAACCTCAGTTGTTCTCGCCCCCACGTTACTGATAGTCAGGAGGAAGAGGCAGCCCAGGGGACACCCACTCGCTCTTCCCAAAGCGCCGGTCGCTGCGGGAGGGAGGACACGCGACGTGGGGATCCTCGGCATGAGCTGCCTCATCCGTTCCCGCGTCAGCGGCCGTCCTCCCCGGCGGCGGAGCACCGTTCCCACCCCCTGGGGAGCTGCGGGGATCCCTGTGGCCGCCGTGTCTGCGCGTACGCCTGCGTGTACGTACATGTAAGAGCAACGCGCCACGTGCGCAGCTGGGGTGAGCCCACTTGAGGCACCTGTACTGTACGTGTTATTTTTGTTCCTCTTGCGTTTGTAGAGGTTTTACAAACTTTTTTTACATACCAGTCTTAGGAACCTGTAGGCAGCTTGATTTTTCTAGGGAAAAAATCCTTTTCTGGGGAGCGTGCATTTACTCTGCGTGTCTTCTCTGTTTGGAGAAACGAGATCCTCCTTTTTCTTTCTCCGTTCCTCATTTCTCATTCCCAAATTCCTTCCCTGCTCAGTGAGGAAGCAGAAGTGGGAGTCAGAAGGCGCAGGGGGAGGTAGAATGAACTGCCCCGTGTGCTAAAGCCAGGGCCTAGTTCAGAGCTCCAGAGCGCGGCCGCTGCGGGGAAGCGTTGTCTGCCCTTAACACCCCGCCAGCGCTGTTCCGAAACACCAACGTGGAGGATGTCTTGAACGCCAGGAAGCTGGAACGGGAGCTGCTGCGAGACGAGTTCCAGAAGAAGAAAGAGCAGGACAGACTCCAGCGAGAGAAGGACAAGCTGGCCAAGCAGGAGCGGAAGGAAAAGGAGAAGAAAAGGACACAGAAAGGCGAGCGGAAGCGATAGCTGGGTTTTCCCGTTGGACTCTCAAGGGATAAGATTAATTACGAATACGGTGTGTGTTTCAAAAGCAGCAGAAGTTCTGGGCACGTGGCTGGCGAGTGGTTCTTTGGAAGCGTTTCCTTTTTTTTTTTTTTCCTTTTTTTTTTTTTTTTTTTTTTTTCCCCCCCCCTCGTAGCAGGAAAGAAATTCCAAGCATCTCCTCACCTCGAAGCGTGCCATGTGCTTGTGGTGTCAAACGTCCCAGTCGGTTATTGTGGCCAATGTCTGTACCAAAGAATGGTGAAGTGATGATGTCCGTGTCTTTAAACTGATCCATTTTTCCTTCTGACCACTTCAGGCAAAGCAAAACGAGGTGCCGGGGCAGGGGGGCTGCCGAGCTGGCTGCATCCTCTTGCCGCCTGGATGTGCAGCGACAGCGTGTGACGGGGTGAGAACAGAGCAGAGCCCCTTTCTGACCTGTAAGGAAGGACACGCTGGGACAGGGGCAATGTGAATTTATTTACAGTAGCCTTGAAAAACATCGTTGCGAATTCCTGTGTGTGCTGCCGGGAGCGGTGCTGCGCCTTCGTTGTGGCCGAGCTGAGAGTGCGGGGCTCGGGGCCGACCTCGGCGAGGGTAAGCGCTGCTCTGCAGCCAGAGAAAGGGAAGGTTGTGAAATATAGATGAGTTGCAGCTATGAGACTGCATCACCCACCGGCTCTCGGTGAGGAAAGGCCGCTCTGATTCGAGCCTCAGCCGGAGCGGCAGCAAATCCATCGGGTCCTTACCGCTATTTTAAGACTCCGTGCTGGGAGCTGGGAAATGGAGCTCCCCAACGTTCCGGGTGGGTGAACGTCGATTGTTATTTCTACGGCGGTTGCCAGGGCGAGGGCTTTCAGGCAGGCCCAGCGCTGAGCGGCTGTAAGCGAGGGGGACGCGCTGGGT